GTTTGTTTGTGTGTGTGTGAGAGAGAGAGAGAGATTAGCTATGGGGGCTATCAAGATGAACTTCTGCACTTCAAAATTCACCTCAATGCTGATTCAGCCGGATTAAAAAGAAATAGAAAAAAACAGACAGGACTTTATGAGAACAGCATCTTGAACCAGACAGGCACAATGTGAGGGGGAAACCACAACCACATCCTGTACAGAGTCAGGCCACTGGGTTCATCTGCAACTCCCTCTTGGCTACAGCTCTCCAAAGCCTCTGAACCCTTCCCAGACCTGACACCTGAGAGCTTTTCAATAGGTTAGACTAGTTTCACAAGGTGAAGAAAATCTTGGCATGCCTAGAGGTGTTTGTGTGGCTGGAGAATTATAGAAAGATCTTACGACTTGAAAGACTGAAGTAAAATTATGATAAAAGTGTGCAAAGGCCTTGATGTAAGATGATGCCTTCTGCCACACACAAAATAAGAGGGGCTGTGGCTAACTCCCCCCCCCGCAAGCAATCCAGGAATATGAGATGGTTTGTGCCGCTGAATCAGTTATTTCTTCTGTTCTGCCTCTCTTCTTATTCCCCCTCTCCTCCCAATCATTAGATCACATTTTCAAAAAGTTGTTTCTGTCTGCCACCACGAGAGACAGAAACTGACTTTGAAAGCGGAGACTCTCAGATTGGGTTGTCCCTAAGCCTCAAGGCACCTTTCGCATATACTGTACATAAATTTACCGTTAATATTTACCATGTTGCATTTTTTACATATAAAAAATAAAGAGGCAGGGTAACAGACAAAGAAAAATCCAGCTTTTCTTGAAATGTTCCACCAGCAGTCCCAAAATAGCCAATGCCCTTTGGCAGCTGTGCTCAGAGCAGCTGGCCATTGTGATGCAGTTCTTGTACGGAGGGAGGAGGGGGGCACATGATCCCAGCAGCTGTTGGTCTTTTGACCAGAGGCTGTGCCCTGGCTGTACCCTTGTCCGTGGGGTTCAGGCTCCATTCTTCCAAAAGCCTATGCATCACTATGCATAGGATGTTGCCCACTCTTCATTTAGAAGATGCCATCCCCCACACCCAGGCATAGTTCCTCTCCCTGTCTTAGGGTGAAACTCCCAGTCAGCTGCTGTATGTGGGTGCAATGGAATGAGGAAGCCTCCTTAAGCAAGCCAGACTCTATCTGAGGGTGGGCATGCTGGCCAGGGCAGGGTGGGGGTGGGGAGTGAGCTCTACCTGAAAGCAATTTCATTGGATCATAAGAATCGTGGAGTTGGAAGGGACCATGAGGATCATCTAGTCCAACCCCTTGAAATGCAGGAATCTTTCACCCAACATGGGGCTTGAACCCACAACCCTGGGATTAAGAGTCTCGTGCTCTACCAACTGAGCTATCCACTGTGAGGGAGCTGCAGGGATGGCAGCAACGCTTTAAAAGCGAGATCTGGTGTTGAGAAAGTGGAGAGGGAGGGTTTTCTTTCCTCTACCCCGCCCCTAACTCTAGGACATAAAAAGACGGAGCTGAGAGGAGGTATGTCTCATGCGTATACAATCAAAGATTTGAAGTAGCAAACGCTTCAGTTTAGGCCAGTTCCAGTTTGCCTAGGGCACGGGTATAGAACTTTTTTCCAGTCTGGGGGCTACATTCCTTTCTGGGAAACATTCCAGGGGCCACATGCCAATGGTAGGTGGGGCTAGAGGCAGCAGTGGGTACAGCAAATAATGTAAATATTGCCTTTGTACAGTAGGCTGGTTTCTGCAAACACGTTCCTCTCTCTATCCTCCACATAGAAGATCAATGACATATTCCAGCCAGACAAAAACACTTGGGGTGCAAAGCAGGGCCAGTGAGGGGTGTGGCCTGGGGAGTGGGGGCATGGCCCAGTTACCATGCCCAGTGATCAAGGACAATGGGAGAAGTAGCCCAAAACATCTGGATGGCAACATGTTGGCACTAGGGGAAGCCTACCACCATCATGCTCTGCTTGTGAGCTTCCCAGAGGTACCTGGCCGTGGAAACGGGATGCTGGGCTTTTAGCCTACCCTCTAGCTGGGCTTGCCTGCTCTCGTACCAGATGCAACATCTGAATTTATTGAAGACAACAGATGAACAATATGTGCCTTGCCTGCCTAGGTTTATGACTCCCCGTGGGATGCCCGTTGGTGTGTTAAAGGCTGGCAGAAGTTTCTCTCCAAGTTCTAGGGCTTTGCTTTTGAAGACCTGTTTGAAAGAGAGAGAAAGAGAAGAAAGACATCGTGAGAAAGCAGATAAGGAAAATAAGAACTGTGCAGGAATGCAAATTGTGTTGTGTTTCCAAATAGAAATCTCCATATGTTTAGTTTGTAAGAGGCACTTCACAGAGAGGCAGGCTGGGGTTTCAATCCACACAGACTTTATTTTTTCTGCCAGGATCAAATGCAATGTGTTTGCGTGCATTGGCCACAGGGGCTATCTCCCCCCCCCCCCGCCCCCATGCAAATGTAATGAACTATTTGAACCATCAGCTGGGGCATCAGGTTGGGGATGGCAGCTTCACACCAACCCCAAATCCCTCCAAAGCAAACCAGGACGCAAATGAATTCATGATCCGAAACAGCAGCCGTAATGCAAAGGGAGATGAAGTGACTGCACCTGAACCAGTCACCTGTGAATGACTCGAGGAGGTGAGGAAAGATTCACCCTGGAAATTGATCTTCTACAGCTGGAGACAGGCATCATTTTTGCAGAGCATTTAGGATGATAGGAAAAAGGCACTGTTGTCTATAAGGTGCACACTCAGCCCACTACAAACCCTGGTAAGCCTGCAAAGCTCTCTTTGACCAGATGCAATAGCATACAAAAGAAACAGGTGTAAACACCACCGGTAAGGATGCCTCTTTCATACCACCTTCAGCAGCCTTTAAACCTGTTGCTGGTCTCCAGCCTACGCAAGTCAGGAGTTGCCAATTTAGGATACTAAGCATTAACCTATGAAATGATCCACTTTGGACATTTTTAGCAAGAAGGGCTTTGGCCAAGAATGTGTGGTGTACATTCAAATAAACAACCAGGGGTCGGGAGAGCTGAGAGGACCTCAGCTTGTCTGCAGTCTTGGGACTCAGCACAAGTAATTCATTTGCAATAAGATACCTACTATCAGACACCGCATCTGCATTCTCCCCATTTCCCCCCCCCCATCCATGTAATTTACAGGCGAGCCCTGTGTTATCTGAGGAAATGGAAAATGAAGAGGATTACGTGAATGCGTCCTTACATCTGGCATGAAAAACGTGGCATCTCCTCGTGTGGCACAGCTCATCTCTCCCCCCTCCTCCCCACAAGCCACTGCTCCTTTAACCAGCTGAGTAAAGACTAACCAATAAGTCAAAGGTTTCAGCTTCAAATCCTGCCACCTGATCTACTGCCAACTCACTCGGAGAAGCTGGCTTATGGCTTCTCTCCACATATTCTTATGCTAATGCCTTGGCAGGCGTGCCTTCACTCTACTTTGAGAAGTGTAATCATTGGGGGTTTTTTTGGTTTTATTGGCTGGAAGGGTGGGTGGAGCAGGATGGGCATTGCATGACTGAGATGTTCACACCAAGGGACAAAAATGATTTCAGGAAACAGAAACCACAAGGGGTCTGAAACTTGAAGCACAACCACAACAGCTCCTAATGTAGTGTAAATATACCCACATCACACAGCCTTTTTGCTCACAGTTCATTACTACACAATGAACATCAGGGTCTAGAACTTCAAGTCCACAGTTAATGTCTTCCTCATTCCTTTTTTTAACAGTTTACTGTCTATTCTAATTCATTTCCAAGGTTTTTTGTTTTTTTTAACTTGACAAATTAAGTTTCCCCAATCTGGGCCTGCCAATTCTTTTGAGGTACAATTACTACCAGTGCTCAATAGATTAGTCATAACAACAGGAAACCTATTAAGTTGCTTAGGGGATCGTGCACAAGCTTTTTCCTTCAAGTCCCCCTAAGTGAGTCCAAGCTGCAGCTGATGGTTCTATGACAGCAGGAAATCCTCTGGAGGATATAGTCCACGCTGTTTCCCTATATATTTGGGGGGCTTTCATTTAGATGGCAAAGATCAGGTCCAGAAAGAGAGACGAGGTGGAAAGATAAATGACCTGGATGTACCTAAGCCAGGCATGTCACAGAATTTTATCAGAAATGGAAGAGAGAGTGGAAACTGCCACAAATTACATACTTGCAAGAGCTAGGGCAGCCTTCCTCAACCAGGCGTCAAGGGGGGTTGCAGTTGAAAACATTAAGGAGACATCAGGTTGGCAAAGGCTGAGGTACTAAAATAAACAGCTCCACAGCTCAAAACACACTAGCATTTATTTTTTACGTAGCAAAATGCTAGAACATTTGCACACAACTCCTTCCATTTTTGGCCCTGAATTGGTTTAACTCTTGCTCAGATATGCAAAGCCCCCAGCCAGATCTGTGGACAGGGAGCTTGCCGAATGCTCCAGCCTCTGCCTTGGGCATTTTGCGCAATCCCTCCATGCCCACCGTCAGAAATAGATGGTGCGAACAGCCTCTGCTTGTACTTGGGAGCAGCGGGAAAACAAGAAGAAAGCGTACTGCAGTGGAATTTTATCGCTCAGCAAAATTCATTTTGGCAAGGGAGATTAATCTTTGTTGAGGCTAGAGGCTGGAGGCTGCATCACCTTTAGAAAGCAGATGGCATTCACTCAAAAGGGAAGAAACATCTTTGGAGGGACACACCATAGGCTGCAGGGGTATCACTAAGGCCTTCTCTTCCCCCTGCCCTAGGTTCATACCTTGCCCATTCAAAGCCTGTCAGTTAAAAGCAAACTTCCTCTCCAAACCAGATCTAGGACTTTGGGTCATCAGGGATGGCCCAGTTCCTCAGGGCTTGAATAGGCAGCATGACTCCCTCCAGATCTGTATGCAAATACATATTTTCAAGGTGTGAAGATTAAGCTTTGGGGCAGGGAACCAGGAAAGGAGAGATAGCATCATTCGTTCTGTTTCTGTAGAATAGGGTGAGCTGTAGCTTAGTGGTAGAGCACCAGCCTTGCATGCAGAAGTCCCGGGTGCAATCCCCAGCATCTCCAGGTAGGGATGGGGGAGAACACTGTCTGGAATCCTGGAGAGGTGCTGCCAGTCAGTGTAGACACTGCTGAGCCAGATGGACCAGTGGCCAGACTCAGTATAAGGCACCTTCCTATATTCCTGTGCTAGAAATATGGAGGTACACCAAAGCCCTACCTCCTGATCCTTGGAAATCTCACAGACAGAGGAGTCCCTCTCTGGCTTATGCCGCATCACCAGATGTTGCTCACACACTTGCAAGACTACATTTGCAGTTGTACGGGCCGGAACCCCTCTCAAATGAAAGCTGGAATTTTCAAGGTACCAAATCCTGTCCTCGGCAGTGAATTATTGTGCCTTTCCCGTCCTTGCATAGCATCAGTCGGGGGGGAGGGGAGGGTCTGTGTGCTTTTTGCAAGTACAAGGACTGAAATCCACAAGCAAGCTAGGATTTTTAACCAGCCCTCTCAAATCCAAGGCCACAGCTCCATGTGCTAAGATGCTGGTTTTCAAAAGGGAGAATGAGAAAATCAGTCATGAGGATAAGTTGCCTTAAAGACAGCTTATTTATTTTTATGTACTTTAGTAAATTTATAGCCTGCCTTTCCCACCAAAGATACCCAAGGCAGCTTCTTTGCCATTGCCACCCTCTCCATCTTCAGTGCACAGAGGACTAGCATATGGATGGTAGAATCCCTGCGTAGGATTCTGCGATGTACGCTAATGCATGCCACCAGTTTGCATGGAGCAACAAGCTCAAACACACACAGCATGCTGTACGACGGAAGAAGGTTTCCATCCGCTCCCCCCCCCAAAAAAAATTCTGTTTTTTAAATAGCTTGCTAAGACAGTGAGTGGCCGGCGTTTCCATGCCGGCTGTAGAAGAGGGTGGGTTCTCTTCCACTGCAGCTGGCATAGGAATGCACCCTCTTAGCAGACTAGTCTTTTGTTTTTCTGCAAGTTGGTAACTTTTGTTGGCTTATTATTTACAAGACTGCTCTATCTTCTGACTAAAAGTTCTGAAGGTAAGTATTTACTCATCTGATAAATGAAAACCCTAAAGGGACTTTCTGTCTTTGCACTGAGTTTTGGTGGTGGTTACAAAACGTGGGGGGGGGGGCCTTGCAGTTGGTGGGGCTTCTGCAGAATGGTGCAGGATGCCTTGGAAGGCAGAAAACAGAGCTGAGGGCCTTGTCAAGCTGCCTTGACACTCATGGCTGCTTTTGTGGCGATATAGCGGAAAACAGCCACCACTAAAAATGACACTTACCCCACTGCAGCATTTAACGTGACCCCGAGGGACCTATGAAAGTTCTTCTCCCGAACATCAGGAAATTAACAAGTTCTGAACGCAAGGCCAAGATCACGGCAAACAGCATTTCAGCGGGGACCAATGTACCAAACCAAAGAGCTATTTAGGAAAAATTGTCCACGGGAGAAAATATCTATACAGATGAGCCAGGCAAAGTAATTATGCAAGACTTAATTAACAGCCATCATCAGCATTCCAATATTTATAAAGGAGTCAGATTTTTAGCTTGCTGAGACACAGGGGACTGCTTCGAAGGGTTTGGTGGTTAGGGTTCTCTGGGGGCAATTGTGTGTGTTGTGTGGATGTTGGCGGGTGGGTGTACGAATGCAGCTCTCTCTGATGCTCCATGTATGAAATGATGTGGAACAAACCTCTTCTCCAGTTAGGTAATATGCAGCCAGAAGCCCTCCGACGTAGCGGATGTTCACTTCAAACAAGGAAGCTTCGCCATTCTGCGGAGAACAATGTGGGAAGGTTTCAGGTTATATGCTAACTGGATGGTAAGACTGTAAGACTGACCAGTGACACAAAGTAAGCAAAAACACATTCCTCAGGATGGAACTTGAAGCTGATACAGAGCGTGAGGCTGCTGGCCAAAACAGAAGCCCTGAGTTTCCTTGCAACTTCTCCTCCAGTAAATCACACTGCATGACATCATAGCACTGAGCGTGTCGCTGCCCACTTCCATTAGCTGCTTAAAGGGGTGGGGGGAACATAATGGTGCCTAGCGGTGAGATGCTGGCATGGGGGAAGGGGAGATGGAAATGCAGGGCCTTTGCCAGCAGTGCTATATCTAGCAGTGCTCTTAGAGAAGAAGTCACACATGGCTGCAGCACACACTGAAGGGGTGCAGAAGTGAGCCTTGCACTTGCTCACCCCCATCCACATTATGCTTGGAATGAAAACTGGGGCCTTGGCAGGTCGGTTCCCAAGCAGGATCCCACTTACACAATCCACAGGTTGGCAAAACGGGGGTGGAGGGGCTTTCCACGTGAGGGTTTTTTTGCAGACAGGCCTCTGATCACATTTAAGAGGCTATGTGAAGTGGGAGAGAATATGCATATCCACAGTCTGCCCCTATGCCATAAACCGCTCCTGTGTGTGAAACTGACACGCCAGGGCCATGTGTGAACTGCCACATATCATGTAGCACAGTGGTGGTGAACCTTTGTCCCTCCAGGTGCTGCTGAACTAAAACTCCCATCAACCCAGGCCACTAGCCATGCTTGCTGGGGCTGATGAGAGTTGTAGTTCATCAATAGCTGGAGGGCACCATGTTGGCTATCCCCGAGGGGTTCTTAAAAAGATTAAAAATGATGAAGTCACATGAGGAAAGTACAGGTGACTCTCAATTTACAGTGGGGTTACGTTCTGCGGATTGCCAAAGTCTTTTTTCCCAGAGGCCCGCTCCCTTTTTATTTTTTTTATTTTTATTTTTGCCAAGTATGTAAAGCTGAATGTGTGCATGTTAAAGAACTGTAAGTTGTGAACCACCTATATACTAACCCTAGAGTTACCTGCTTACTAGCCCTGCTGTGAACTTTACTCAGCGGACGAGGCCTTCCCACATGCAAAGGAAAGGGTGGGGCTTCCAAAATGGTGCTCTCCAGATGTTGCCGATGGGCCAATGGCCAGGCATGATGGGAGCTGTTGTTTAGCAACCTCCAGGGGTCAAAGGTTCCCTACATCCAATACAGCCATTTTAAAAAGTGAAAGAGCTTTACATGACTTCCCTAACTTATGTAAATTCATAGGCGGGGGACTGGGCCAGCAGTGCCAGCAACTGAGTGTTTGAACGTTACAAGAAGGGTGTTGGCAGGAGAAGGCAGGAAACATGATTGTTGAATGCTTCCTGTTCCCTCTGCTTTGTGTCTCGTTTGAAGAACTCGCATATCCATTTCGTTCAAATAATGGAGGGGTACGTTATGGATAGGCAGGAGACAATGGGGTATTTCTAAGCAAAGACATTTGGGACAGTATGATGTCAGGAGTGCTCTGATGGTGTTTCCTGCTTGGCAGGGGGTTGGACTCGATGGCCCTTGTGGTCTCTTCCAACTCTATGATTCTATGATTCTATGTAGAAGGCAGGCCTGCATAGCTTTCTTTCTTTCCTGAGCACCCGCTGATTTGTAAATGGGAGTCTTTCAGATAACCCTTTACCTGCAGCTAGTTGTGATCTATAATAATCCAGCTTTGGATCAGTGAAATGTCAAAGCAATTGCAGTCAAATTGTTCCTTTCAAAGATTTGCTCCTCAAGCCTGATCCTGCATGATAATTCAGTTTTGCTTTCTGAATAAATATCAGCTTCTTGCAACACACCCGCACGCACGTATACACAGCTTCCAGGTAGAACATCTACTTCAGGGATGAGTAAAAAGCACCATTAGAAAAAGGGAAATGGAAAGGAAGTGCAAGAAAGCAGCATACATCAGCCTTGAGAAAGGGTCACAGGTTTCTCTCCTCACATCATATACAGGGAATAACTCTCCCTCCCTCTCTTTCACACACACACTTTACTCCCCACAAGGAGCTCTCAGTGGTACACATGGTTTTCCTCTTATTGCCTTCTCAACAACCTAAGAGGAAGGTTATATGAGGAGTGTGCAACTGGGTCACCCAGTGAGTTTTACAGTGCAACAGGGATCTGAGTCCAGGGCTCTGTACACACTATACATTTAAAGCACACACACCCACCCCTCGCCACCTGACAAAGAATGGTGGGATCTGTAGTTTACCCCCAGAGCTACAATTCCCAGAACCCTTAACAAACTACAATTTCCAGGGTTATTTGAGGGAAGCCATGTATGGTACATATACAACCACTGTGGCATATTTCAAGTTCTGAACATTTTCAGGTTGGTGTGACTTTAGAGCAATGTGTGGAATGCCACAAGCCTGACATTTCATAGCTAAGGATACACATTAGTAAAACTGGGTCTCAGATGTGCAAGCAGGGCAGGGGGGCTGAATCCAGCTGTTAGATAGGTCAAGCCTACCTGCCCCATGCTAGGCTACCAGTGCCTGGCTGTGTGTGGCCAGGTGGGAGCATCAGATGAACACACATGGGAAATGAGATGGTGAGGAGAACAGTGGCTGGGGTGCCCTGAAGTGTAGCCCACACACCATCCAATGGAAGGACAGACAGCCATGAGGTGTGGCATTTTTATTTAAGGATAAGACACTTGCCCAGGACCATCCAGTTCTGACTGGACCAGTTTTGAACCTAGGACTTCCAATTTTATGTCCAATCCCTTTAGGAAATGGTTAATTCATCTCTGCTCAAAAACAAACCGAGTTACCAGCCTTTGGGAACAATGCACTGTATATTTTATTTTCCAAGTGCATCACCTTCATGTTGGTTGATTCTTGATTGCTGACAGTATCAAATATGTGTGCACGCGCATGCGCGCGCACACACACACACACACACACACAGTTTTTAATGGAGACCTGGTCTCACCCACATTTAAATCCTGTGATCCAGCTATTTAAAAGGTTCATTCTTGAATTTGCAGATTGATCTGTGAGGGCGGATGGGGTGGGAGGAAGAGCTTTTGTGAAAACACAGATCAATTATCCCTGTCTATTCCATCTCTTGGCCTATCGATCTGATGCCAAACACAAACCATTCAACCAGAATTTATCAGATGCGACTGTCCGTTTGCAAGTTCGTGCTGGTCACCTCTTTCAAAATGACGCTTTTCTAGGAA